AAATAACAATAAGTTGATTAACAATATTAAACGTAAAATATTTAAATTTCTTGAAAAATAAAATTTTAATTTTATAATCATCTTGAAACATTATTAAGTAGTTTAAGCCATTTTTTTAATAATGAAATTGGTCTTCCAAGAAAATCTTTCACGAAATTATTATGTTTATGTCTTAGTATCACATCTTTTAATATTTTTAGTTGTATTATCATTCCATTCATGATACTTAAGTAATTGTTAATAAAAAAAAAAAAAAACTTGGGTAATTAGATCAAACTCATCATAATTTCTTCTTTTTTCTCTAAAATTTAGGGAGTATGAATTAATAGAAGAAATTATGAATAAGAAAATTAATTAAGAATAATAAATATAATATTTTTAAATAATAATAATAATAAATAAAATAAACGGCTCAATCCGTTAATCTACCGATTGATCCTAACCTGACTCATGAGTTGTATGGATTGATAATACAGGTTATTTATGAATTATGAGTTGAGATATGTAAACCCTAACCTTTTTTTACAGGTTAAGTTAGGGTCAGGTTGACAGTTGAGTGGATTTTTGCCACCCCTTGACAAACCATAGTCCATCCAATACTAACCGCTTCCTCATGTGGCAGCACTTTGGTTGCACTTGAGCTTTTCCCATGGTGCTTCATGCATCCTATCAGCACCTTTTGCCTGGTTGCCCTTTCATCTGCTCACAATATGGCAAAATCACAGCCAGCCAACTTCTATCATGGACACGTAGCACCATCAGGCTTGTGCTACTAAAGAAGATAACAAGCTTAATGATACGCGGACAACTTATTTATACAGTAGGCACTCTCTGGGTTCTAGTAAGAGGAACTTGAGCCGGACAACATCTCCATTGATATTGCATCACGATATCACTGAAAAAGTGAGTGAAATCCATTGTTCAAAGAGAAGGCTTCAGCTCTAAAGATAATCTAAATGACTAGAACAGAACAAACGTTCCACAATTGCACCACAAGTGCCTAATAAGTGTCTAAGAGCAATATATGACCAAGTGAATCGGTTGTTGCAATGCTACTCAGAGAGATGGTGTGTTTTTCATATAAAATTCAAAATGCACTAGTTACCATAACTATTAACTAATACACAAACAACACGTGAACAGAAACAAGTAAAGCCTACCTAAATTACATCCCTATTTCTATTACACTTTAACTGTATCTCAAAACAATAAAGACTTCCAGCAGTTAGTACAAGTCCATACTTATAAAAGCATCAATGGGTACACAGAACAAAATGAGAAAGAAAAAGCAGGAAATTGGGACACTAAAAACAGGAAATGTAGCTAGCTAAAAATTAAATAAAAAACACTACAAATATAACTTGTAGACGTACAATAAATTGAGGTTGTTACAAAATGTCATTATGATGTTAGTTAAGTACAAAGAGAAACAAAGATCAGCTATATGAACTTAATCTTCTAACATTGTTTCTGTTTTTTAAATGAAACAATTTAGATTCTTGATAAAAGAATTATACCTTTCAACTTCCAAGAATCTTTAGTCTTAGTTACAAGATAACAACATAAATTTTTGCTGTGATCTATTATGAAATGAGCTGCAAATTATATTATTGCAAAACAGAACGAAACTTACTGACCTGAAAGCCTAGATCACATCATCATCTCCTATGGTGAAGGCACAGACTGCGCGACAATGAAAGCAGTTGAATTGAAATACTAGAATACCTTACATTATTCACTGGAAAAAAGGAAGCAGAATAACTAAAAATGAAACAGGGAATAACTATTTTCTTAAATTATTATTATTATTTCTTTTAAATCATATACCCAATAATTACTCAATACTTTTAGACCATTTGAAGCACTTCTATAGAATCAATCTGCAAGCAGCAGGCTTTAATTATATAAGGAATCACCTCGACTTCCACCACTAGAGAAGGATTGTGTCAGTGATTTCTGCAACAACACAAAATATTAATTAAAAGCACTAGAACTAGCAATACTAATATAACAAAAGCACTTAGTGGGTAAGGTAGTGGGGCTCCATTTCCACGCTAAAACTCCCTGTCAATAAATCCAGTGGCTGACATATTTTCACATTATATTTAAAAGAAAATTGATTTCTATCTGTAGACTTCTTCCTCCAATCTAAACGTATCTTAAAGATCATGCATATATACCTCAAGAATTTGTTTCCGAGGCAATAGTCATTCGTTGTTGGTTCAAGTTAAGAGGAACTTCACCCAGACAACCTTTATTGATTAACATCTCCATTATATCCTTGATAGAGTATGTGAAATCCATTATTCAGTTAAGATAGCTCCATAGTTTAAAGATATTCAACATGACTCGGACTGTACAAACCTTCTATAGTAGCATCAACAAGTGTCCAAGTGTCTAAGAGCAGCAATATACAGCCAAGTGAACTGGATATGGTAGACAATGTACCACTTTGTGACAAGGTGAGTTTTCCCATTTCTGCAGTGATCTGCCAAAAACATCAAAGTAGAAACAATGATGAAATCAATAAAACATTCAAGAGGCTTTCAAAAGAACAAATAAGAATTAAGACAACTAAAAGAAGAGTGCTAATCCCATAAAGGTACAATGGCAAATAAAATTTAAAAAGTAATAGCATCCAGGATGAATAGACAGCAACTCACAAGATCACAATCACATTGGACGCCTTCATATAACAGAAACACATAAGACCTGCATTAACTACTTTCGCAATTTCCATTACATTGTAATTAACTGAATCCCATAACAATAAGGAATTTCTATTTGTTAATCCAAGCCCAAAGTAATACACAGTTTGGGTGAGTGCACAGAGTAAAATAAGAAACAAAAAGCAGGAAATTGGGTCCGGGCCATAATACAAAACAGCTAACAGAAAAAATGAGAAATGCCACGAATAGAACTTATAGGAAATTGAGGTTGCTATACAAATTCAAGTGCTTGACCTTATTGAAATAGACTATTACATAAATAGAACTTACAATAAATTTAGGTTGTTACACAGTTTTCTTAATGGAATAGTTTACATTCTTGATAAATGAATTGCCTTCCCTTAAGGAATGCGACACGAAAAGAAAAATATCCACCAAACACAACTTTCTTTATTTTAGCTTCTCATTAGACACAAGAAATAATTAACAAGACAACCTAATATCAATGACAATAACAAGTAAAGACATTTTTCAAGTTTCAACAATAATTCTTAGCCTTTTACTGCAAAATAAGTACTTGAATATCAGAGCCATCAAAATAAGCAATTACTTCAGCCATGACAACATAAACCTTTCCTGAGGATGTCATCTGAGGTCGTCTCTCTCTCTTAGCTCCACAGACTCTCAATTTTAGGTTGCTCGCAAGGTATACCATTTGTAAGAAAAATATCCATTGATGAGTTCACAGAAAGAACAACAAATATAACTCTAATTTATGTTGGCAAAATAAGATCAAATTGAAGGATATCTACTCTACGGGGTATAACCTACACTGACTAGCCATGAATATAGTGTATACACCTCAGAATTACAACTTTCCTTGCTAAGACAGAAGTTAATATCTCAGCAAAACAAAAGGAAAATACCCATAGAAAATTATCTGCCTATGTATCAAATCACCAGCCAAAGAATAAGACTTGAGTTGGCAAGGGTTAGAGGGTGGGCCTCTAGAGAGCAAAGGAGGTTGGGATCGTCCCTCACCCAGCCCTCTTAAGTAATAATTCTCCTCAAAATTGCGCAGCTGTCATCCAAGATTCGTCAGAGGCATCTTTGCTTCCACACCGATCGGAGAAATATGGTGAAAGGAGATGTTTGGGGGTCCAAAAATTAAAGAATTTTTACATTTTACTTCAGCAAAATGCACTGTTCAAAGGCAACCAAAACAAAGGAAAAGAGAATAAAATACGAAGAGATATATAACATTAAAAGAAACCAATTACACTAATAAAAATACATGAGCAACTGCCTGCAGAGCAGATAGATGAAATCCAAAAGAAATCAACACAAGTTCATACATAACCATAATTCCCACACAAGTCAACACAACTATATATCAACAATGAACATGAAAAATATGGAAACAAACTCAAGAAGCAACTGTTGCCAGATCTGCCCAGAGTAGGAAATCAACTGCACCTGCTTTCCCCTATGTAAAATAAAGCAAAAGTAGAAAAATTAAGTTTCACTATTATATAATATACCTTGATTTTTATGGTTAGAACTTAGATGGAACACAAATATTACAGAGAGAGTTGTAGAAACTTTCTCACCTAAGAGCGTTGGTTGGGTTTTTGGGTTTTTCTCTTCTTATGCCTTCTGTTGCACCTTCCAACTAATTTCTGTTGATATTTCTCCACTTTCTTCACCACCCACCATGGTTTTCCTATAGTGAAGGCAATGTATCCCAGACTAAGTCCCAACACTAGTCCACACCCATAGCCTGCCAATGCAAACTTCCACTCAAAGAGTGCTGTAGAGTCATCTTCTTCATCAAATTGTGATGGAAGTGCTCCTCGTTCTTCCTCATTGTGGCATTTCTTTGTCAATGGGAATCCACACAACCCAGAGTTTCCAATGTAGGAATCATTTGAGAAAGTACTGAACTGCCTCCCTTCAGGTATGTGGCCCTCAAATTCATTGTGTGAAAGATTCAAAACTGATAGGAATATTAGATTTGTCAATTGCTCAGGAATCCTGCCTTCAAGGTTGTTTGATGAGAGATCTAATGACTCAAGTTCTGCTAATTTCCCCAACGATGATGGAATTTGACCTGTGAGACTATTGTGAGACAAGTTTAGCACTTTAAGTAAATTGAGTTCTCCCAACTCTTCAGGAATTTCCCCATGGAATTGATTGCCTGAGAAATCAATGGTTGTGAAAATTGTCAAGATCCTTACAAGCTCCAGCTCTAACCTTTTCACCACTACCTTCACAGAATCCTTATAATTAATGTCATGATGAGACATTGAGCAAATTCTCACCAGCACACATTTCACATTATTATGTCCTAGCACGTAACCAATGTATTCCAATTTGACTTTATCAGCTGGAGCTACAACTCTCATGCCTTTCAAAATTTTGAAATAGTTACTCGGTAGGAGACCCATAAAATCATTCTGTGCAACATCAATGATTCTCAAATGAGGGAAGTAAAATACAGGCATAGAATTGTTGATGGCACCATGAAATTGATTAGATCGAAGGATGAGAACTTTTAGTGATTGAAGAACACCTAACCAATGTGGAAAGGTATCATTCAAGTTGTTGTTCCCCACATCTAGAATTTCCAACTTACTGCAATTAACCAAAGACCGTGGTAGTATCCCTTCCAACTGGTTGCCATTTAGGTTAAGAGTTCTCAATTGACTCCCGTTGACAAAAGAATTGGGTATTCTACCATGAAACTTATTCATCCGTAGATCCAAGCTGGTGAGATTACTCAACTTTCCAAGACATTCTGGAATTTTTCCTCCCAAACTATTATTAGCCAAATCCAGAATCCTAAGAAAAGTCAAATTGCAATAAGAAAGGGGGATTTCACTAGTCAAATTATTCCCTGAAATGAAGAGTAGTATCATAGAATCCCAAGTTGTTGATAGAATGGGAAGTGATCCTTGTAGTAAGTTGGATCTGAGGTCAATAGTTACAACATTTCCAAGACCAAATGGATCTATACCAGTCAAGAAGTTATAAGAAAGGTTTAACCTGCACAATGACATCCCTTCCATTTCCCATTTGTGAATTTGACCAGAAATCTTGTTCTTGGAAATATCCAATTCTCGCAATCTCTCTGCCTTCCTTAAGAAACTCGGGAACTTGTGTATGTTGCAAGAAGAGAATTTTAAAAACCAGAGGTTTGGAAAGGAATAATTGACAACAGTGCCATCATTGCTCAAAGACAGCAAACTATTATTGGAAAGATCAAGTATCTCAAGGTTTACAAGTTTTGAAAGCATGTTGGCTGTCATGGTGCCACTTAAATTATTTGAAGAAAAGTCGACTATAGTAAGATTCACAAGATGAAAGAAAGGGCTAGGAATTGAACCACTTATCTCATTATTGGACAAATAGACTTCTTGTAAAATGAGATTAGGCATCTCAACATGATCAATAGGTCCGGTAAGTCTGTTGTTTCGAAGGTCTAAATGGGACAAAAAAGGCAGAGAAAACAACCAAGATGGTACATGACCTGTGATGAAATTATTATCCATTTGGAGCTTATACAAAAATGAGAGTCCACTTATATTGTAAGGAAGAGGCCCTATCAGCTTATTTGATGACAGTCTCAAATAAGTAAGATTCGTAAGGTTGAAGATTGACGTAAAAAAGTTTCCTTGCAAATTACAATCGCTAAGGCTCAAATATTCTAAGGAGGAAGTCAAGTTTAGCAAGGAAGAAGGCACAACCAGAGGCATATTCACAGAATCAAGGATAAGAAACCTTAATTCTGTTAAGTTATGCACAAGCATTTGAAACTTTATGTTGTCAAGAAGCAAACCATCATTATGGGAGAGATCGAGTGAAACAAATTTCGATAGCAAGGAGATCTCGAATAGGAGAGAGCCATCCATATATCCCAATTCTGCAAAGTTAAGGATTTGTGAAACTAGGGCAAGTGAAATTAGTTTTGAAAGCATGGAGATTTCAAACAAAAGAAAGAAATGAAATCTCGTACCTGAGAGATTAAGATATGTCAAACTCTTCCAACGGTGAAACCCAAATGAGATATTGGGGAAACTAAAATTGTTGTGAGAAAGGTTAAGGCTCTGCAATTTCTCTAGGCGGAAAAGACTACTATTTGTAGTTAGATTAGCTTCAAGACAATTACGGCTAAGATCAAGGCCAATCACATGATCTTTCGGCTTGTCGCATGTGATACCCTCCCACAAGCAGCAGTCTATGCTCTCGTTCCAAGTTTGTATTATAGGAGTACCAAGACAGCCTTCCACCATATTAGTAGTGCTTTTGAAATCAAGCAACGCAGAACGCTCTTCAGGATGGCACAAATGTTGCGGTGAATCAAGAGAAGATTGAGAAGGTGAGGAGCTTCGGACTCGAAACTGTAACAATATGAAGGAAAGGCAGAGGAATTGGGAAAACCATATTAAGCTTCCCATTTTCTTAAAGATGAACGGAATTCAGCAAAGAAATGAGTGATGGATTATTCAAAATTGAAGGGCTGGACGCCAGTATTTATTGTCTCCCGAGAGCGAAAATCCTCCAACTTTTCAGTTGTGTGTTGATTTCGATGCTAGCACAGCAAAGGTCAATAAACCATTTTCTTTTCTTTTCTTTTTTTCTTTTTTCTTACAAAAATAATAGTTTTCACACAATTGAATTTTTTTATTATGTATAATTAAACTATTTTTTTATAGTACACCTAATTAAGAACAAGACACTAATTAAGACTCTATTTAGTATGCTTTTAGAGTTTTAGTTTTGGGTTTTGAGTTTTACTTTTTTTTACATATTTAGTACCTACTATATTTAGAAATCACAATTTATCATAAAAATTTAAATTTATTAAATTTAATTTAAATATAGTACTAGTTATTAAATATATAAAAAATAAAAACTAAAAATCAAAATCATACTATATGGAGCCCAATTTGATGATTTTATATACAA